TTTAGCTTCAAGCAGGAGAAGCATAATCCTATCATGTGCATGGATGGCAAACCAGAGGCTTGGTGCCACAGGGGTACTTGTTATACCATGTAGTGGTCCTGGTGGATGGAGCATCATGTACCTAAGAAAATAATGGGGAGAAATGAAAACGATTCAGAAAAAAAATGTGCTAGGGAAATTATTTAAAAAAATGGGTGGGTCTTCTATCAATTTTCTGAAAGTCTATACTGTACTTAATTTTTTAACTTAAAAATTGGAAAACTTATGCAAATGTTAAGTAGTAATTATAGAAGAGAACCTCTTTTCTGTTTGGTTGTTGTCATTGTGTTACCTTCCTGAATGAGGCCATATGGGAACACGTACTCCTAGGTGACTCTTACGTAGAGGTGCAGTGTTGAGCTTGTCCTAACCTATTTCCTTATTAAACAGAACACCTGAAATCATACACCATCCAGGGTTAAACAGTGCTCTCCCAGGGCCGGGCGCAGTGCCTCATGCCTGTAATCCAGCACTTTGGGAGGCTGAGGCAGACGAATCATCTGAGGTCAGGAGTTCAAGACTGGCCCGGCCAACATAGTGAAACCCCATCTCTACTAAAAATACAAAATTTAGCTGGGCCTGGTGGCATACCCCTGTAATCCCAGCTACTCGGGAGGCTGAGGCATGAGAATCACTTGAACCTGGGAGGCGGAGGTTGCAGTGAGCTGAGATCACTCCATTGCACTCCAGCCTGGGCGACAGAGCAAGACTCCATCTCAAAAAAACAAAAAGTGTTCTCCCAGGTCATGAAAACTCAAGGTGATGAGAGGCAACAGGTCAGTAACGAACTAGAGTGTGGGGACAGGAGTGGACCTCACTTTAACAGGCTGCTCCTGCCTATGTGGGAGGTCGCCAGGACAGGAAGGCCAGTGATGGTACACAGAGTGGCTTTGTCTGCCCTGCCTGCCACCTGCTCATCTTCCACTTTTCCTGCACTAAAGTGCCACATTCCCAGGGTTGACTCATGAACAGCTAGATGGGTGCTCTTGGGCAAGGGTGTTGGCCGGGCGCAGTGACTCACGTCTGTAATCCCAGCACGTTGGGAGGCTGAGGTGGGCAGATCACAAGGTCAGGAGATCGAGACCATCCTGGCTAACATGGTGAAACTCTGTCTCTACTAAAAAAAAAAAAAAAATACAAAAAAATTAGCCGGGCATGATGTTGGGCGCCTATAGTCCCAGCTACTCGGGAGGCTGAGGCGGGAGAATGGCATGAACCCGGGAGGCGGAGCTTGCAGTGAGCAGAGATCACGCCACTGCTCTCCAGCCTGGGTGAGAGCGCGAGACTTCATCTCAAAAAAAAAAAAAGAAAAGAAAAAATGAACAAGGGTGTTGTGTTGGTTCTTTTGGCTTTTGCAGGTGATGGCTTGTTTCCTCCTGTGCTGTTGCCCTGTGGGATTTGCTCTGCTTTTCCCTGCACTACAGCTTGGAAATGCTCAGCGGATTTTCACTGAGCTTTGAGATCAGTGGTTCAGCTTCTTTGGCTGGGTACAGTGAGTGTGCACAAATGAGTGAAGCATGTTTAATAAGAGGATGTTGATGTGTAGAGATGAACCTTGAGCAGTGGCTTCTCGGTCATTGATACAGCCACCGGCTAGGAGTCTGTTTTGATAATTATTTTCTGGTATTCTCTTTTCACTAGGGAAAGAATCCCCAGGATGCCATCCTAGTATCTCTTCTTCTCCCCACCCTTCCACTTCTATCCCTGTTTCTTGTTCTCCAGAAGAGAAGTCTGGCGTTCTTTCAGTCCACTGTAAGCTGTGACCACAGTTACCTTCAACATGTATTGTAATCACTTCCCCTGTAGCTTCCAGCACAGTCTCATTTAAGAAATGTCTGATATGTGTAGAGGAAGCATTACATTATAGTATTACATCATATGCTATTTCTTAAAAACTTACGGAAAAATATAGGAATGTAAACTAAATACCTTTGCCCTTAGCTAAAAGAGTTTTTTTTCCCCTCCAATATATTCTTGTTACTTCTTCTAAATGAGTGCTTGAGCTCCAAATATACATCAAATCTTTTTTTTCTTTATCTAGCTACAAGCCCTATTCCATCTGACTGAATCACCAGGCTTCATGTTGCCTCTTGTTCTTGCAGGTATCCTCCAGGCAGGCTTCCCAGTTAGAGGCAGGGGAAAGATGGTGCAATACCAGACAGCATGCTCTCCCTCTCCATCTGGTATCCTGGGCGGCCTCACAGGGTCTTTTTTTTTTCTTTTCTTTTCTTTTTTTTTTTTTTTTAAGTGAAAGCAGGTTTATTAGAGAAACAAAAGAATGGCTGGAATGGCTGCTCCATAGGCAGAGCAGCAGCAAGGGCTGCTGATTGGCCAGGATCACATCTTTTAGGCAGTTCACATCAGTCAGTAGGGATGCCAAAGGGTGGTCTTTTGGTGGTTATCAATTGCTGGTGTGCCTTTCTCTATATAGACCCTTGAACATCTTCATTGTTCATTGGACTTTGTAGTTTCTTGTCAGCCCAGGTGGTGGTAGTGGCCTGTTGACCTGTAAGGACTTCAAACAAGCAAATATGAGTGGGGAAATAAGGGAAAGTGAGAGCTCATTGAGTGTGTAAGTGGAAATGTTTCACAGTAATTTGTAGCCCTAGAGAACTGAATATGGAAAACCAAAGAGGAGGAACAAGCAACATGGGAACATAGGAGTCACTGCATTGATGAGATCCAGGTCAGAGACAGAATTTTATCCTACAGTCACACTAAGATCTGGAACTGGTGACCTGCATGAGAGTGTCCACTACATCTGTACATGTTCATACAATATGAACACACACACACACACACTCTGAGGTTGGGAACAGAGGCTAATAGCAAGAGCTTATAGATGTGCTGCAGGTCTGAGAGGAACAGTGTTCTCTTCTTGGTATGTTGAGAGAAATATAAGCTGTTTCATTTATTGATAGAAATTGCCTTTGAGATCCTGTCATTTTGTAGACTTCTCCTGTTCCTTAAGTATGTAGGATCATGGATGAGAAAGGCCTAACTTCATGGAAAGAGTGTCTGTGGCTGGTTAAGGCATCTTTGTTTAGGAAAGCTTCCACTAGATGTGCCTCTCACTCGACCTTGATCCTTGCCTCTGTTCCCACTTATTTTTTGTGTGCTTGACCTTGAGTGGAGGTTATTTGATGTTTCAGGTTGTCACTAAGAGTAGTAGTTCACGGGAGTATTTTCCTGAAAGTAACTATCCCTCTACGGCTGTGATAAAGCATTCAACAACCTTCTTGCCTCCAATCTTGTTTCTGGAGCTCTAAGGTAACCCCCAGGAAGTTACATAAATACTGATCCAGCTGTTGTTGAGGTGCGGGCCCTACCATGATTGATACCAAAGTATTTGTCAGACTTCTCCATTGAACACTTCTGTTTCAGTATTGAGTTACGCTTAGTATAATGTTCAGTTTATCGTTGAAAGCCTTTTGTCCCTGTCCTGGGTTATGCCATTGGAAGCTTAGCCGATTTAGGGAGGGACAGGGGAGTTAGCGGGTGAGAAATCCTACTCTTTCCCTGCCTGCCACCAGGCCTGGAGATGCAAACCTGCAATGCTGGAAACACATATGGCTCTTGGCACTGAGAAAACCTTGTTGAAGATGAAAGTAAAGTTCCTCTGGTGACAGGAAGTTAATCAAAGCTGAATGTGGTAGACAAGGACGCAAGCTGGACTACTTGTTCCATCACTGAGGAGTATTTTATTATTATGTAAATGAGATTAAATGCACAGTGACTGGAAGGTATTGAGAACAGTGGAGAAAATTCAGAGGTGAACAGGCTCCTCAGGATTTAAACTCTGGCTGCAGAAATGTTTTTGTAACTCTGCTGCCTCTTAGTCCATCAAACGCTGAGCAAGGGAAGCTCCTCT